CCTGCCTCCCTGCTCCTCACCCCTGCCTCCCTGCTCCTCACCCCTGCCTCCCTGCTCCTCACCCCTGCCTCCCTGCTCCTCACCCCTGCCTCCCTGTTCCTCCGGAGACAGGCCATTGTATTTGATTACTACTCAGTGTATAGTTACTAGAGCTGACATATGCTGTGAGCACATAACTAAGGGGACCACTAGGCAGGCCCATAAGTTTACCAGTGATGTTTTGGACCATTTCTGTATCTCTTCACACCAATACTTGGCATACTATGTGGTTTATGACAAGAATGTTGAATTATTATCCACGTGTTTCCAAATGCATGTTTCTGACTGTGCTGAGTTCCCAAAGGGCAGATAACCTCTACCTAAAGAATAATGCATTATTCAGATAAAAATGCTCGTGAATTGCTTGTGATTAAGAAAGGTCAAATGACAGGTTGACTCAAGCTGAAGAAAGGAGATGATAGCCGGCAAAGAGCTCCTTGGAGTTGTCAGGAACAGAATCTCTAGGTCATATACCCAGATCAAGACTAGGTATACCATCTTGTTAGGAGCTGAAGTGCAGAGGATTGGAAACAGAGTGTGTGGTTGGGACTTTTTCTTGGGATCACTCCTTCCTACTATCAACACCTAAGCTATGCTTGCTCCTGCTTGGGTCTGGCTCAGCCACCTGTCCTACATCAAGATCTTCGACGTGGGCACACGCTACATGGTAAATCGAGTACAGGACCACGTTCAGAGCCGTACAGCCTACTACCTCATGAACATCCATGTCACACCTCGATCTATCTACCTATGCCGGCATGGTGAGAGTGAACTCAACCTTAGAGGCCGCATTGGAGGTGACTCTGGCCTCTCAGCTCGGGGCAAGCAGGTAAGGAGGGCTTCAGAGATTCATGTGTAGATTAGGCTAGCCTAGGTGGCCAATGGCTGGGTTTTGAGAAGAAGTATCCCTTGATGAGAAAGAAGCAAATTATGATCAGTCTTTCTCTTCCACCTTTAGTCATGAGTCCTGTCATAGACATTGAATGGCTCCCATACACTTACTGCTTCTGCAAGACCAATTGCACAGCCATCCATGGCTGCTCACCTCTGGCTGCCTCTTGACCTCCATCACAGTGCCCTTCCCCTGCGTGATGTCTCCCCGATCATTCTCACTGCTCTGTCCCTTGCTGATACTCACCTTGCTATCCTCCTTGGTCCCCCTGCCAGCTGGTAACTCTCAAGTACAGAGGGCCTTAACCTGAATACCTCCTCTCCGTGACTGTGTTGACATTGTCCCCTACCCCATTTGAGGAATCATACTGTCCCCACCATATTGTCTTTTCTTGCTCTTCCATTCCCTTCCAAGACCCAACTCTTGCTCCTAGAGCTAGTCCACTATTGAGCCCTCCCTGTTCACTCCTTATCCCAGGGGTCGCTGGCCTTTGAAGACATCTCTCCTTATTCTGGTCTGTTACTTTCTCAGGTCATGACAGTCCCTATTCCCAGTGCAGAATAGTAACCTGTCCATCCTAGGTACCAGTTTCGTAAAGGAATTTACTCCTCAGCTTCTGGTCCTTTACCTGGACTTGTTAAAATACATGTTGCTAGAGAAAATCACATTTGGATGGCATAGGTAGGAAATGAAGTACATGAAGGGCATTCCTAGTTCTTTGTGTCTTTTTTCAAAGTTTTATTTGTTTTTATTTTATGTGTATGTATGTTTTGCCTGCATGTGTGCCTGTGTACCATGTACATGCGTGGTCAGATCCCTGTGAACTGTTCTATACTGGGAACAGCAACAGCTGGTGCTCTGAACTGCTGAGCCAACTCTTCAGTCCCTTACTGTCTTTTATTGGACACCTATGCACAACCACAGTACCATCAACTTCCATATTTAATTTCTGAATGACACCAGCAGTGTGAACTGGGCATAACTGTCATTGTTTATGGATGAGGAAGCTGAGCAACAGAAAGAGAGAGGAGTCTCAGGTCACATGGTCAGTACAAGGTAACATAGGCAGAACTGAAAACCAGGCCTTCCTGACTTTCTCCAGCACCCCTGCTGGATAGGTAGGAAAAGCCCTAGATGCCCTCTGACCTGACTCTAATCTCTCATGCTCTCCACAACAGAGGCTGAGATCACATGAGGTATATTTTCATCTCCAAGACTTCTTAGATATAACTAGCGCCTGTCTTACCTGCACAGTTCAGAGCTCAATTGGAAAGGTAACCATGTCCACATGAGTACCTCCTGCACACACAAACATGTATATGTACACGCGTCAGACCCAAACCTTTACATTCTTCAGCACAATGCGCCAAGCCTGGCTTTAAAGGCCAGTCACCCCAGTCTCTATAGTTTTCATTTAACTAGCACCTACTGTCTACCAGGGAGTAGTGTACTGTTCATGCAGCTCAGAGACACAGTTGGATAACCGAATGATGTTTGCATTTTATGGGCATGATAAGAAGTCAGAGATGGGTACTGTGTAAGGGAGTTATTGAGATTTCCCTTTCTCTTACTCTCCCAGGCAAGAGAGAACTGATTGCTGACTTGTATCTATCGTACAAATTTGTGCCTATGTCCATTTGTGTGTATGTACCTAGGACATTCCATGTTTGAATAATGACACCTTATATACAGAAGGAACATGTATCCTTGCACCTTTGAGCTTCCATGACCCTTTGTGGTTCCCTTCTGTACTGCCATTGTTTCTCTCCCTGAGTGGCTGGATCTTGAAAGCATTAACACTCAAGTACCCAAAACAGGTACATGAATACTAATGCATGTACAAATGCCCTTTATCTGGGTACCAGGCTCCCCATTCAAGCAATAGAAATCATAGCTTCAGAATACTGTCTTTCAGATCCTTCAGTCCATACTTTAGACCACATTCTGGGCACTTCTACCCTTAGAACCCCACTCTGATGGCCTGGAATCTGCTTCAATGCCTGGCTGTTAGTCTCCACCAGAGGACAGGCCATGGTCACAGGAATACTAACCTTTAGGTCCATGCATAGCCCTGGGGTTATTCTTTGTGTAGCAAGAGGGGTCACTGGGCATAGTACATGATCAGAACTCCATGCTGTGATTTGTAACCTCAGTCATATACTAAAGATTCCTAGAAGTGCAGAATGTCATCGGAAATGGAAGGAAAAAGGATGCAGACCATCAGGTGGTTCCACTTGTTCTTAGGTTCCACATATGTTAGAGGTGGTCGTGTTTGAATGAATGATTCATCTAGCAGGGAATGTAGTAAGCAAGTATCACCACCCCCCATTCCAAGCATGGATATTCTTTTTCTCTTTCATTCTTAGTCACTCAGGAAAGAATATGACTTTCATTTTTAATACTTTTATGATTGTACATATTTGTTAGATACAATTTCCAGTTTCCATGCTAATTGTATTTTATTGTTGTGCAAGATGAGAACATCCATACTCTCCTAAGGATTTGGAAATACACACCAATTTTTAAGGATAACCATCCTACTCTGCATTGAAACATTAGAACTTACTTTCCTGTCTAACTATAACTTTGTACCCATTGATCACTCTCTAACCTAACTTTTGATCCACTTAGCATTCTTTAACTGTAACTGTACCCAGTGATTAGCACCTCTATAGCTTACCTTCTCGAGAACCCAGCGCCTCTACCTCTGACCTATAGTCCCAGGTTAATTTCTATATAAATTTAACCTCTATTTTCTTGCCTGTCCATTAGTACTTCACCATTCATGAGAGATGTGAACTTGTTCTTATGGCTCCCTTGGTCTTCCCTTTCTCACCCCTCTTTTTTTCTGTCTTCTCCTTTGTACCCCTAGTATGCCTATGCCCTGGCCAACTTCATTCGGTCTCAAGGCATCAGCTCCCTGAAGGTCTGGACTAGCCACATGAAGAGGACCATTCAGACAGCGGAAGCCCTGGGTGTCCCCTATGAACAATGGAAGGCCCTGAATGAGATTGATGCGGTAAGATGGAAAGGGTTAATGTCCTGGCATGAAGAGAGGTGGTAATTCTAGGCTTATCTCATGGGTTACCTCTGCTTCTGGGAACCTAATTAGTTCATCAAATCTTTGTATGTTTTTTTGTTTTGTCTTTTGTCAACCAACCATATGTAAGAGAATACTCTGTGTCATTGAGATCTAGTGAAGGCAAGCATTAAATTGCCCCATGAGAATGTCTATGGGGGCATTTACATGATTTTTAATTTATATAGGGAGCCAGTTCACTGTAGGCAGTACCAGCCCTAGGCAGGTAGGTATATCTGGGCTGTATAAGAAAGCTATCTTAATGTGAACCTGAGGGTAAGCTAGTAATCACATTACCTCCTTGGTTCTTGTCTCTGCTCCTGTTTGAGTGCCTGTCCTGAATTCCCTTAATGATGGGCTATCACCTAGAAGGGTAAACTGAAATAAACCCTTTCCTACCCAAGATGCTTTTGGTTGTGGTTTCTCACAGCAAGAGAAACCAAACTAGACAACTTCTAGAAGGCAGTTGTTCTACATTTTGCACATGAGGAAAATACAACTCAGAGAGGTTAAGCAGGGCTTCCTGAAGTCAAAGTAAGAAGGCAATGGCCATTTCCCCAGGGCAAAAAGCCTCACAATGAACTTCAGAACAGAAGATTGAGAACAGTTTAAAGGGATCTGTTTGTACTTTCTTTCTCGTGAGCAATTTCCATTCAGAAGTTGTTACATGTTGTATTCCTTTTCCCTGAAGGAAGCCTAGTAGATAGCCTAAAATGACAAGAGCCAGAGTTGGTGACCCTGGGCACCAAACAAGCAGAGTTCAACAGAAACTCACACACTTTGAGGGAAATGCCAGAAACAGTATCACTTTTTACCACCAGCACCAGTAGCCTTGCCTATGGGGATTTCTCAGTAGACTCAGAATTTGTCTTCCCAAATCCACTCTGAAACCATTAAAAAATTTTACTAGTTTTTATCTTATGAATTATCTGTGGGTACATTTTCCCCAGTGATACTAAAATTCAGGGCAAGTCAGGAAGGATAAAGAAGGCTATACAATGGGAGGGCACCACTGTACGATATATTTGCACATAGAGTTTCAGACACCAGCCACAAATATGTATAGATGCACACATTCACTTCACAGTCACAGAAGCATTCTTTTCTTATCATGCCTGCACCATGTATGCACAGACATCTAGAAACAAATATAGGCACATCATATACATACATGCATTTCATATAGACACAGATGAGTAAACCATTGACATGTATGCACCACTACTAAATAGCTTCAGGCATATTACTGCAAATTCACAGACCTCAAACATAGGCACACAAATACAGATATATAGCAGAAACATAATACAGAATGCCTATAGTTATAGATATATGCTACCAAAACACATGAAGACACACACCACAGTGTCACCCACACCCACATGGGCATAGTCTCAGATGCTCAGACACTCTGTACATACACGCAGAGAATACAAGTTTACTGCATATGCATAAAGAGATATATAATATACACAAGGCTTTAAACATATTTCAAGCACACATAATAAGCATTCTACATATGCTTACATAGTACCAACTCCATATTTATACATATTTATAGCAACATATACATAATGTTTGCATATAGAGCTATCGAGACAGTCATAGGGAAATATCATATACTCAGTCTGAACATACCCATCCATTTGTCCTTACACACACAAGCCAGACACTTCACAAGCACATACAAACTAGGCAACAGATACAACTCAAGAGCTACTACATTCACAGAAACCAAGGTATTATACTATTCCATACTTGTTGGCACCAAAACTGTGTGAAAAGCTATGTTGCTTTCCCCTGTTCAATATATTATTCACAAAAATGTTTTTATAGGGTGTCTGTGAAGAGATGACCTATGAAGAAATTCAGGAACACTACCCTGAAGAATTTGCACTACGGGACCAGGATAAATATCGTTACCGCTATCCCAAGGGAGAGGTAAAGTTTGAAGGGATGACCTAACTCCTAGGACTTCTCCCCTGTATCCTGATTCCAACTGCCAGAGTTTCAGAAAAACCTTTAGAAACAAAGCAGAGTGTATTTTCAATAGCTGCCATTGGTCAAGGTACATGCTCATCTGGTCCTTAGCTGTAGGCACGCTATTCCTCTTCTTTTAAAATTCATTCATTCATTCATTCATTCATTAGCTATAGGCAAGCTATTCCTCTTCTTTTAAAAATATTCATTTGCCGGGCAGTGGTGACGCATGCCTTTAATCCCAGCACTTGAGAGGCAGAGGCAAGCGATTTCTGAGTTCGAGGCCAGCCTGGTCTACAGAGTGAGTTCCAGGACAGCCAGGGCTACACAGAGAAACCCGGTCTCGAAAAACCAAAAAAAAAAAAATCATTCATTCATTCATTTGTTCATTTGTTCAGTGAGTGAAAGCAAGCATACCATTTCCTGTGTGCTTGTGGAGGTCAGAGAACAACCAACGGGTCTCAGTTCTCTCCTTTCACCATGTGAATCCCAGGGATCAAACTCAGGTCATTAGCTCAGTGCTGTGTCCAGCTCCTCCTCGTTTTTAAAAGCTACATATTGGTCTGCTTATAGGCACTATGTGTTTTTAGAAGAACATACTTTGTCCAGTGACTTGTATTTGCCAGTTTTTACTGGACAACTTGAAGTAGCTCAATGTACTCAAACTCTAATGTTTTGTTGCCAACGTACCTAAGGCTCCAGGCTCTCTCAGTAGTTGGCATCATTCCATGGAACAAAAGCTATTAGTTTAATCAACTTTTTGGCTACCATATGCACCGGACTATAATTTTCCTGTCTCTCTATGAGATGGATGCTTATTGCTTTCAGTCCAGCCTCTTAGCACAGTTCTGCATTTTGATGTATTTATTAGTCATACTCCATTTCTGACCCAAAACCCTATGAAAATATGGACATCTGCAAAGATAAAACAGTAGATGTTATGTTCAATCACAAATCACTTTCATTGAAAAAAAAAGAAAAAAAGAAAAAAACAAAAAAAACCAAACCACTTTCATATTTTCATCTTCATCCTCGGAACAGACTTGATAAAGTCAATGCTAATTTGTTCTCATTTCCTTTATAAGTGTTTAGGCTATGTTATTAGAGGCATACAAATCAAAAGCAATGTTATCTTCTCACTGAATTATATATCTTCTATTAAGAGTGACTAAGCTCTTTTTTTCTTACTAATGCTATTTGCCTAAAATATGTCTAACACATCTCTAGCTCTACATGGTGGTGGCTTCTAACCGTTTGCTGGGTTTACCTTTATTTATTCATATTCAAATTTTCTGAGTACTTTTGTTTTATTTATGTCTCTTACAAGCACTTTATAGTTGGATTTTGTTGTTTTTAATCCAAACCGAAATATAACTTTTGAATGCTAAGCTGGGTACATATATTTTTAGTGGTATTACTGATTTTTGAACATTTATTTCTATTGTCTTGAACTTTCTATGCTTACTTTATTTTTCTCTTGCTTTCCTTAGGAGTGATTTTTTCATCAATATGTGTTATAATCTGTTTCCAGATTCTTGTGGAGGTTACGCTTAACTTAAAAAAAAATCATCATGGTTCTTTCTGTTTTTGAAGATATCCCACTAAGGGTATGAGGTCAAAATATTGTACTTTAAGATTACTCAGAATAATTTGTTGTGTATTGTTATGCAATGGACTTGAACATTTAACTTTTTTATATTTCTATTTTAATTGATTTTTTTCATAAAATATATTTTGATTATGCTTCCCCTCCCCCAACTCCTCCCAGATCTTCCCTACTTGCCCAACCTTCTCTGTGTGTGTCTCTCTCCCTCTCTCTTTCCCTCCCTCTGTCTCCCTCTCTCTCTGTCTCTCTCCCTCTCTCTTTCCCTCCCTCCATCTCTCTCTCAGTCTCTCGGTCTCTCGGCCTCTCTGTCTCTCTCTCTCCCTCCCTCCCTCCCTCCCCCTTTCTCTCTCTCTCTTTCTCTCTCAAAAGAACCCACAAAAACATAAAAATGAAAGCTAAAACAAATAAAACCAGTAAGACAGAAATACCAAAACAAGAAAAAGTTCATACATACAAAACAAAACAAACAAAAACAGAGAGTTCATTTTGTATTGTCCAACTACTTCTGGCTCAAGGTCTGCTCTGAGGTGTGGTTGATAAACCAGCAACAGTCTACTGCAGAAAACTGGTTTTCCCTTTTGCCAGTGGGTAGCAGTTGCAAACTGCTTCTTGGTAAGGGGTAGGACCGCTTGTCTACTTCCCCCCTCACAGTTCTGGCACCCTGTCTGGCTTGAATCTATGCTGATCTTGTACATGCTGTCAGTGTCTCTGAGTTCTGATCTGTTATCAGCCCTGTTGTGTTCAGAAGACACTGTTTCCTCAGAGTCATCCATCACCCCTGGCTCTTATAATCTTTCTGCATCCTCTTCAACGTAATATCTTTGAACCTTGAAGGGAAGGGTTTGATGAAGACGTCCCATTTAGGACTACATGTTCCAAAGTCTCTCACCCTCACACATTGTCCAGTTGTGGGTCTAGGTCTGTGTCATCTACTACAAGAAGTTGCTCTGATGAGAGTTGAACAAGGCACTGATCTGTGAGTATAGCAATATGTCAATAGGAGTCATTTGATTGCTATGTTCCTTTAGCAGAATGATATAGTCTGCTAAATATATATTTATAATATATAATAATTATGTATATATACCATACATAATTATTTACCATACATATATACCATGGTATATATAATATATAGTAATTATGTGTATATACTATTATTATAATATATAATATTATATATATATATAATATACTATTCTGTTTTCCTCTAGGCCCAAGACCTATCTAGTCTCGGGTTCTTGAACAATTTACTATGTCAGGTATAGGCTCCATCTCATAGAATAAGCCTCAAATTCAACCAGAAAGTAATCTGTTATTCCCACGTTTGTGCCACCATTGCACTGGTATATCTTGCAGGCAGGTCATTGTTATAAGTCACAGGGTTTATAGCTGGGTAATATCGACGGTTACTTTTCTCTGGTAGTGTGCAGAGTAAGCTTCTGTCACCATGGATGCTAGTCAGTATGGGTAAAGCTTAGTTGGGTAACACCTCAATTTTTCTGTGTTTGATGCTAAGTAAGTTGTATCTTCAGCAAAAGGGCCTTACTGTCAGATTGTGGACAATAACCAAGAGCCTGTAGTGTCTTATGAGGTTCCATGGGACCTATTTAGCCAATGATTCAATAAGATGTAGTCAGTTTCTGGCACTGGAAGTTTTACTTGGTAACATAAGATGTCTAATTGAGACATTGTCTCCCTTATTATATAGTCACTCCATTTAAATTCCTTTCACTTATCTATGTATTTTAAGAAGCTTCTACAGTGGTAGGTTTACATGTGGTTTTTTTTTCTTCAAAAAAACCTTTAATGTTAGTTGCTCCTCCCCATATTCCCTCATTTACTTGCTTTCCTGTACCCATCCCCAAGAAAGAGGAAATATAGTGTGAACCTAGAATAGGAACATTTAGTATTTTAATATACATGACTAACAAGGTCAAAAATCAGTGTCTCTGCTGTTGCCCTAAATAATACAGGATCTTTCAACATTTAGTAACTTCCTCTCCTAACTTACATGTCGATATGTTCATGTCGCCTCAGTCTTAATCCTTAAACTGTCGTTGTTGCTACTACTATTTGATACGTCATTTAACTGAGTGTTTACTGACCCCTTGATCATTTTGCTTCTTCTATCTCAAGTTCCACTTCTCCATCCTTGTTGGAAGTGTGTCTGCTGACAATCTATCAGTGATACTCTCACCCTTCCTCTCATCCAAAAGTGTCCCATGGCTGCATCCTCAAGCCTTAATGGTAATTGGTTGCATAGAAAGCTCTCACGTGACTGTTGTTTTCTCAGTACTCTGAGATGTCTCTCCTGGTCTTATTGTTGCCACTGTGGCTAAGACACTTTTCAGCTTCATTATTGTTTCATTGCTCTTTGGCTAAGTAGAAAGTCTTTCTATCTTTGTTGCCTTTAAGATTCTCCCATTGGTGTCTGCATAGTACTCGATTGCCCCTGCTCACTTCCTCATCTCTATCCCCTTCATCTCCCTCCCCTCCTCTCTTTTCCTCTCTTTTCCTCTTTTCTCTACTTTTCTTTCCCTCTCCTCCCCACTCCCCCCTCCACCCTCTCTCTTCCATTTCTTTAGTCCCCCTTTTCCTTTTCTTACTCCTCCCTTCTCTTCAGCATCCTTCCTGTAGTATTTCTTTCTTTCCCTCTTTTTTTCATTCAATCTTTGTTTCTGAGAATATTCATATACAAAGCTTTCTACATGTCCCTTACACCGTCAGTCTTTTAAAATAAATTGTTACAGGAAGCTTTTCATACTTTCCCATGAGTGTCTAATATAGGAAGATACATCTTCTCACCATTTTCCTTTTTCCTGTGGACAGACTTTTTCTATTTTAAGCTTTTACTGAGGGTATAAAGATTTGTCCTCTGACCGTCTCAGATTTGTGTTGAGTACCAACTCCTGGTAGCTTAATTTTTATTTCTGTAAGGTTTTCAAAAGCCCAGTTTCTTGGGATTGCCAAGTGTCCCAAGATAGTTATGGCATCTATGTTCCCTTATTCTTTTCTTTTCTCTCTTTTCTTTATTCTTTTCTTCCTTCCTTCCTTTCTTTCTTTCTTTCTTTCTTTCTTTCTTTTCATTTTTGGATACAACAGGTCAGAATTTCCCTTATTTTTGAAATGCCATTTGTACAGTTAACTAGATATTCTATGGGGGGGTTATAGTGTTGTCTTTTAGCCCACATTTATTGATTGGTTCATTTAACAGATGAGAAACTAAAACCCTGAGAAACAAATGATTTACCTAGTCATAATGTTGGGTCAACAGTTCTGGCTTCCAAACCAAGTTTTCTTCTCTGGGTCAATGTGCTTCATCATCCCCTCTGCTTACCAATTATTTCTCTCTTTTTTTAGTCCTATGAGGACCTGGTTCAGCGTCTTGAGCCAGTTATTATGGAGCTAGAACGGCAAGAAAATGTACTAGTGATCTGTCACCAGGCTGTCATGCGGTGCCTCCTGGCATACTTCCTGGATAAAAGTTCAGGTAATGCCCCCTCCCTGTTCTTGGTATGAAGAGCTGGATATGATTTGAGTTGCAATTAGAAGTTTATATTGTAGTGGTTAAAAGCACACTATTTAAACCAAGGATTTTTAGGTTCAAACTTTTTACACACATCTGTGCTACATTCAATAAAGTACTGTTATCCCCCATCAACTTTCTTTCTCAACTAAATAGGGAAAATTAATGATTAAGTTAAAATAAACATGTTAAAAGCCTAGAATGTATAATGTATTGTATGGGCTATATTGCCAGTATTAATATCACTCTTAGCTAATCTGTATGCTGAAAGCCAGCATAAACAGTCTGCTGCAGCTTCAAATACTGAGCCAGTATGTTTCTGAAGCACACTGGCCTCAGTTGATTGTGAGACCTGTACCCTTGTTGTACGGATAATTTCTCCAAGATAGAAATGTCTATAATTTAATTTTTTCATGTGATATTTTCTTTCAAAAATATCTAGACCCTGTATTTATGAAAGTATGCATATGCAGACTTTATACACATATATATGTATATACACATACTGCTTATTCTATGATGCCATACATATATATGTAGGCCTCATATACTGTATGTATATATGTGTATGTATGTGTGAATACACATACTAAGATTTCATATATGTATAAATATAAACTTACATATAGCCATACATATGTATGCACCGACTTCATATACTGCTATATGCATGTATACAAAGACTACACATACTACATCTACTTCTTAGGTGGCCTGGCACAACTTTCATACAACAGTCCATTTCTAATGTGGGTGATGAAATGTGGCATTTCCAGGATATTTTGAAGGTGTTTGGAAACCATGTTAAATACTATTGAGTCAATTCTGTTATGCTAATTTCAAAATAAAGAATATATAAAATATAGAGTAATTCAATATTGGAATCCAGGGAACTTGAGAACTTGACATTGGAAAAGTCATATTCTTTACCTGATTTCCAGTGTGCTCATTTGATATAGATGATGGAATGTGTGATGTGGTCCTTTCAGCCTTAGAATTTTGATATGTTCATATCTCTGCTTTTCAGAGCATTTTTTTAAGATTGTGAGGCAGGTCCCATTCCCATTTCTCAGATGAGAAAACCAAGGCTATGAGCAGCAAAATGAGTTTCCCAGGTTTGTGGGATAGATTAATTCCAGATGCCCATCAGAGGCCTTCCCATCTAAAATATACATAGGGGCATTGTAGTTACTTCCTTAGGTCTTCATTTCTTACCTTCTCTCACACAGACCATTCTAGCTGCTCACAACTTCCCTGGGAGCAAGGTTACACAGGGCTAGGCAGATGGCTTTATCCTCATTATTCAGGAGAATGATGGAAGAAAGCCCAGAACACTTATATGAATTAGAATATATACCCACGGAACCACAGAGCTAGGGTACCTTCAGATAGGACTGAATCTAAACTTGTTCTGTAAAATAGGGACACTGAAGGCCAGAGAGAGAAGAAACCATGACAGAGCTGGGTCAGAGACTTCAGATATGTTCCTTTAGTTCTCTAAATGTGTTTCTTCATATGGAAAGTAACAGTGGACAGGACCCAGAGCATTATGAGGGATGTACGCGCACACACACACACGTACATCATTAGCCCAGAGCTTCATTCTGATGGTTGGCAGTGAGGAGGAAAAGAATGAATTCCCAGAAAAATACCTCTCCTGATATATCAGGAGGTTGGGAGGATGTTGGCATGCCTTCAATCGTACAATTAACATGAGGGACAAAAAGGTCATTTCAAGTGATGGTGTTCCAGCTAAATAAGTAAGGTAAGGATATGCATTACAGCCTGGAGACTGGTGAAGTGGACATAGGGATAAAGTGCCTAGAAAGGTGTGCACCCCTAGTACTCCGAATTCCTCCATGGTGGCACCTACAGACTGGTAAACCATGCATATTGTCTTCAAAGTACCCTAAGTTTGAGGCCCCAGACTGCCATTCTTAGCCATGGTATGTTTCCTCTTTGAAGCCCATTTCCTTATCTATGGATTGAGCCAGATCACTCCTCCTCTTAGCATGTCTGGCAAGTAGAAACACTGGTCTAGACAGGAAATTGTACATTAATGTTCAGAGTTACTTTCTGCATAATCATCAATAACAGAAAACTAGTGAAACATACACATAAGTGCACACACACATACAGAAAGAGAAAGAGGGGGAGAGGGAAGGAGGGAGGGAGGGAGAGAGAGACAGAGAGAGGAGAGAGAGAGAGGGAGGGAGGGAGGGAGGGAGAGAGAGACAGAGAGAGGAGAGAGAGAGAGAGAGAGAGAGAGAGAGAGAGAGAGAGAGAGAGAGAGAGAGAGAGAGAGAGAGAGAATATGAATATGCCTCTGCCATAGAAGTGGCACAATGGAAAGAAAGTTTCAGAATTTTGAACCCATGTAGAGTATGGGTCATAGAGGGTTTGTAGAAATTTGGCATTGGACAGGAGGGAAGCTTGCCTTTGTTTCCTGCTAATTCTGAGACTAAAGAGTTGAAACCCCTTAGTGGATACGCAGATATCGCTTGAGACTTACATTCTGTCTACCTTTCCTAGGCTGTCTTGCCCTTGTTCCCAGGCAGCTAGGTTGCTCTCTTTTGCCCTTATAAATACCCACTATATAGAATACCAGGAATAAATCCATGCTGGGCCCCAAGTAGGAAGCAGAGGTAGAAGTAGGAGCCCTTACAAATACCTACTATGTAGAATACCAGAGTAAATCCATGCTAGGCCCCAAGTAGGAAGCAGAGGTAGAAGTAGGAGCACCCAGTAAGCCTGAGTGTGATCCTCTGCCCAGTCCCACATCTCTCAGGGCTGTGTCTGCCTCCCTTCCAGATGAGCTGCCCTATCTCAAGTGTCCTCTGCATACAGTGCTCAAACTCACACCTGTGGCTTATGGTAAGTACTGCCATTCATCTAAGGAAAGGCACACAGAGACCAGGAGGATGCCTCCAGTGTGCCTCTAGCTTGCTCTAAAGGCTCCTGGGTAAGTTTCCCTAGGTGGCTGGCAGGATGTCTTGGTAAAGGTGGGGCTGGTGGCAGTTGGACAACAAGGAAAAACTAGGCTAGTGTCCAAATCTGGAGCCTGAGCTGGGTGGTGGTGGCATACGCCTTTAATCCCAGCACTTGGGAGGAAGAGGCAGGCGGATTTCTGAGTTCGAGAGTTCGAGGCTACCCTGGTCTACAGAGTGAGTTCCAGGACAGCCAGGGCTACACAGAGAAACCCTGTCTCGAAAAACCAAACCAAAAAAAAAAAAGAAAGAAACAAATCTGGAGCCTGTCTCTTTCTGTCCCTGCCTGGGCACTGAGTACAGTACATTGTTCAATTTGTGTTGAGGCAGAAGTGTCCCTAACAGAGACCTAAGAAAAATTATAGGTTGAGGTAATACTAAAGAAAGAGCTCAAAGAAAATTCTGGACAGTTTAGACTCTATTGGAGCATTAGTTAACTATGAAAGATTCCTAAGGAGGGAAAGGATAGAGTCAAATGAAGTCCAGGGTATGAACAGGATAAAATGACCTACTGAAGCCAGTGATAGGATAGTTTAGAATGGTGCTCAAGGGGCTCCCATCGAACAATGGAGCTCCTCTGCCAGCCTTAGGCCCATCTTCTTCAGGTAGAACTTCCTGGTAATCACACCCCTGGTATTGCTCTAGTTGTCTTCTGAGTAAATCTTGGCTGGGTTTGACTACCCAGAACTACAGCCCAGGCCTTTTCTACCTAGGATGTCTCAGAGGATCCACAGTGCTCTGTCAGTCATATATAGATTAAATCACTGTCTCATAGCTCACAAGAGTTGGGGACCACCTTCTCTCATTTCCCCATGTATAAATGAGCAACTTTGTACAAGGAAACCATATACAAGCAGAAGCTGCGGGTGGGGGGGATAACTGTTGGCTTCAGGGCTTTGGGGGTCTGGATCTTTGCCACACATCCTACAGCTTATCTGAACTCCTCTGCCTTCAGGGGAGATATAATCTAGAGCAGTGGTTCCCAACTGCCCTAATGCTGGGACCCTTTAAATAGTTATTCATGTTGTGATGACCCCCAACCATAACAATATTTTCATTTCTACTTCATAATTGTAATTTTGCTGTTGTGGGTTAGAATGTGACTGATATATAGCATATCTGCTGTGCAACCCACAAAGGATTGTGGCCCACAGGTTGAGAATGACTGCTCTAAAGAGTATGGACCTAGGTGTGAGCAATGATGATGGGAAAAGGGAATGTACCTTAGGGAAGACTGGGCTTATCCTGAGCAATTATGGACCTATGAGTTGTTCTTTTCTAAGGCTGCAGAGTGGAGTCCATCTACCTGAATGTGGAGGCTGTGAACACACACCGGGACAAGCCTGAGGTAGGTGGGGTGCTCTGTACCCAAGATGGCCGTTAACAAAGTACACACTGAAAGTACTCTCCCACATGGAAAGGCTTCTTCCAGCCCCAGACATCCTAGGTGTTTCAAATTACCCAGTACTCAAAAATGGCAAGAACCACAGTCCAGGCCTATAGAGACTCAGGTCTGTGACAATCCCTACCAAACAGGCCTCAGGCTGATTCCCCAAACATGCCTAAAAAGAGGGCCAAGACCTATGCACTGCTGAAAGAGGGATGCCCAGCAATAAGGACAAGAGGCAGGGCTGGGATTGGGACCCTAAACTTCTTACTAACCCTGGACTCTCTTCTTAGAATGTGGACATCACCCGTGAACCTGAGGAAGCCCTGGACACTGTCCCTGCGCATTACTGAGCCCTTTTCAAGTGATCAGATTGTCTCTGTTCTCACTGCCTTCCTCCTGTAGGAACTGTTGCCCTTGTTCTCCTTAAGCAGACTCTGGCTTTGGCCAGAGAGTGCCCTACCTCCAGTGAAGAAGTCCGTAGCAGTTCCCAAACAGGTCTTAATTCCTAGCCATAACTAAGGCTACCTACCTGTGGATAAAATTCTTTTTAAATATTCTCTGATAAATAAAGACATTTATTCCTGCCTATAGGACAGAAAGAGGTTATAAGGCTTCTTTCATTGTTCTCAAGATCTTGTTTCTAACCCAACTCTGGTACTGCTGATGAAGAATGGGTGGGAACATCTGAGATGGAAGAATCCTCAGGTAGCATCCTCAAAGATGGAAAAGATAGGTCCTTGTGAGATCCTGTTGGTTTTGCCCTTGACAAGGTGCATGGGGGACAGGATTATACTTAGAAAACAATCTAGTACTTGGGCTAAGAGCTTTGGTCTCCTCAAACTCTTGCTACCAACCTGAGTAATTTCAGTGCTTATATTAATGATGTCATCAACAGCCTTGGGATTTGACTCCTTCAACTTCAGTGATTGTCTGGCATCATTTATGGCATACCCTCTCTGGGCTAACTCATTGACTGAAACCTTCCCATTCATTCCAGTCCATAAAACTATATTAGCCTTAAGACTTAGCAGCATGCCTCCATAGACATTCATGTCGTATTTTCTTGATGAACGGTATCTGTTCTTGTTCATCAGTATGTTCATTTTGAACTCTCCATTGTCTCCATGTAGTTTCTCAATGTTCTTCCATCCCTCACCAACCTGGACCTATTTCTTTAACCAGTATCCTTCCTCTAACCATTAATGGCCAGGTACTCACATCCCTGTGATAAACAGACTCATAACCTTGCTGCCTTCGTTCCCTAATCCTTTCATCACAACCACTGAGGAAGATCCAAGCCTTGAATCAACCACAACTTTCTTCCCTCTGGCACCTACTAGGGTCATAGATCATTGCTTGAAACAGGTCTATTTATCCACTTCCACAGCTCCCCCGAGCCTGTTCCAAGTCAGGGTTACCCTTTCCACTATCTCACACTCACTCACTGTATGTATGTATGTATGTATGTATGTATGTATGTATGTATGTATGTGTATGAGTACACTGTAGCTGTCTTCAGACACACAGAAGAGGGAATTGGATCCCATTACAGATGGTAGTGAGCCACCATGTGGTTTCTGGGAATTGAACTCAGGACCTCTGGAAGACCTGTCAGTGCTCTTAACCATCTCTCTAGCCCCATCTCATACTTTTTTTAAAATTTATTTTTTTAATTAATTTTTTATTGGATGTTTTATTTACATTTCAGATGTTATCCCATTTCCTGATTCCCCCTACCCAGAAACCCCCTATCCCATCCCCCTTCCTCCTGCTTATATGAGGATGTGCCCCTACCTCCCCACCCCCACCTCCCCGCCCTTGAATTCCCTCATACTGGGGCATCCAACCTTCACAGGACCAAGGACCTCCTCCCCTACATATACAGCTGCAGCCATGGGTCCCTCCCTATGTGCTCCCAGGCTGGTGGTTTAGACCCTGGGAGCTGTGGTTGGTTGGTATTGTTGCTCTCCCCATGGGGCCAAAAAACCCTTCAGCTCCTTCAGTCTTCTCTAACTCCTCCATTGGGAACCCCGTGATCAGTTCAGTGGCTGGCTATTAGCATCCGCCTCTGTATGTCAGGCTCTGGCAGACCTCTAAGGAGACAGCTATATCAGGCTCCTGTCAGCATGCACTTCAGCGTCTGCCTTTGGTGACTGCACATGGGATGGATACCCAGGTGGAGCAGTCTCTAGACAGCCCCTCCTTCAATTTCTGTCCCACACTTTGTCTCCATATTTGCTCCCATGAGTTTGTTACTCCTTCTAAGGACTGAAGCACCCACACTATGGTCTTCCTTTTTCATGAGCTTCATGTGGTCTGTGAGTTGTATTTTGGGTATTACGCCATCTCATACTTCTTATCTTCCATACCAATCCCGTCTCTCAACTGATTTAGGTCCTATACTCCATGCTTAGTTTTCTTTCCTATCCCAAGAAAATGCCCTCTTGCTCCAGGTCAATTCCTAGTTTCTTCCCTTCCTATCCCTATATTCTTACACAACTACCCAAAATTAATGTGAGTCTACTTTGTATTTGCCCTGTACCTTAGGCTTTTCCCTTCCATATCTTTGTTCAAGCTATTATCCCTTGGCCTGGCACACTTTCCCAGAGCTCTCTGACTCTTGAGAAATGCCTGCCTTTTAGCTGGAGCCCCATGGTTCCCAAAAAGCTAAGTTGAACCCTAGCTGTTCTATGAACCCAGAACATCACAGCCAGCCATATTAAAGGGCAGAATAAACTCAGGTTCCTTTGGCAAATTTAATGTAACTCTGATACCAAAATACGACAACAACACAGGAAGCAAACACAAAGCAGAACAGCAGATTTTTTCAGTGTTTCACTCAGCTGATGGGCAATAGAGCTTAGGCTTCTGGGTGGACAATTCCAAAGCTGCACATTGGCTCCATGGGAAGTACTGCTGCACTTAGCATTATCTGTAAACAGGGGGAACAAGCCTGAAAAACAAAGCCAAATACCCAGAAACACGTTAGCACAAGACCCGTTTCCTCATATTTCCTTTTTTGTCTTCATCTTCTCACTTGGCCCCTCCCAGCTTAGGCTTTCCTCTAGTATCTCCCAGCTATTATAGCTATCCCCATGGACTCTGGCTATAGGAATATTGCAGTTACCTGAAACTTCACTAGCCGTAAGGGAAGCCACAGGCACCGTGGTTAGTGTTTCCACCACCAAAGCCAGTACCGGTGCTTGGTGGTCCACCGCCGAATCCACCATTGGTGTTCGGTCCACCACCAAAGCCATTACCGGTGTTTGGTGGTCCACCGCCGAATCCAGCATTGGTGTTCGGCCCACCACCAAAGCCAGTACCGGTGTTTGGTGGTCCACCGCCGAACCCAGCATTGGTGCTCAGTCCACTACCAAAGCCAGCAGCAGTGCTTGGTCCTCCGAAGCCACCTCCAGTGTTTGGTCCACCAAAGCCAGGTCCTGTACTTGGTCCACCACCGAAGCCACCAGTGCTTGGTCCACTGCAGAAGCCAGCACCAGCACTTGGTCCACCACTAAAGCCAACAATAGAACTGGGTCCATTACTGAAGCTGGAGCCAGTGTTGGGTTCACCAGTAAAGCCACTGCTGGAGTTGGAATCACTGCCAAAGCCAATGATGGGATTCAGTCCTCTGTTGAAGTTGGCATTAGGCCCATTGCCAAAGCCATTGCCATTGCCATTGCCGAGGCTTACACTAAAGCCTGCACCAGTGCCAAGTGTGCCGCCAAAACCAGTATTGGTACCCAGGTCACCAGCAAAGCCATCACTAGTGACCAGTCCACCACCAAAGCCGGTGCTGTTTCCCAGTCCATCACCAAAGCCAGTGCTCGTGCCCAATTCACCACCAAAATCAGTGTTAGTGTTTAGTCCACCATTGAAGCCAGCACTGGTACCCAGTCCGCCATTGAAGTCAGCATTATGACTTAGTCCACCACTAAATCCCGTGCTGGTGCCCAGTCCACCGCCAAACCCAGTGTTGGTGCCCAGGCCACCATTGAAGCTAGCACTGGGGCCTAAGCTTCCAGCAAAGCCAGTGCTGGTACCTAGACTGTTGCCAAAGCCAGCACTGGTGCCCAACCCATTTCCAAAGCCAGCACTGGTATTTAGCCCATTCCCAAAACTGAAAATGGCACTGGTGCTTTGCCCCTCACTGTAATTGGCACTGGTAGCACCACTAAAGCAGTTGGTGCTGGAAGAGCCTCCAAAGCATAGGTTGGTGTTAGATGCGCTGCCAAAACAGAGACTGGTGCTGGGTGCTCCACCAAAACAGAGGTTAGTGCTTTGAGACCCACCAAAGCTAACGCTGGTAGTGGGAGCACTGCCAAAGCTAATGCTGTTGCTATGGGTACTACCAAAGTCAGTGGTACTAAGTGTGCCACCAAAGCCAACACTGGTACTAAACGCGCCACCAAAGTCAGGGCTGGTGCCGATTGCACCCCCAAAGCTGGCATTGTTATTCATCGCACCACCAAAGCTGCCATTTGTACTGATGGCACCCCCAAAGCCAGCACTGTTATTCAGCGCACCACCAAAGCTGCCATTTGTACTGATGGCACCCCCAAAGCCAGCACTGTTATTCAGCGCACCACCAAAGGTGGCATTTGTACTGATGACACCCCCAAAGCCAGCACTGTTATTCAGCGCACCCCCAAAGCCAGCACTGTTATTCATTGCACCACCAAAACTGGCATTTGTACTGATGGCACCCCCAAAGCCAGCACTGTTATTCAACATAAAGCTGGCACTCGTACTGATGGCACCCCCAAAGCCAGCACTGTTATTCAGCACACCACCAAAGCTGGCACTGGTGCTCATAGCACCCCCAAAGCCAGCACTGTTATTCAGTGCACCACCAAAGCTAGCATTGGTATTCAGTGCACCACCAAAGGTGGCACTGGTGCTCATGGCACCACCAAATCCAGCACTGCCATTGAGTACACCACCAAAGGTGGCACTCGTGCTGATGGCACCGCCAAAGCCAGCACTGCCATTGAGTACACCGCCAAAGCTGGCACTGCTGTTGAGTGCACTGCCGAAGCCAGCGCTGGTGTTGATGGCACCACCAAAGCTGGCACTGCTATTGAGTGCACCCCCAAAGCTGACACTGCTGTTGAGTGCACTGCCAAAGCCAGTGCTGGTGCTGATGGCACCACCAAAGCTGGTACTGCTGTTGAGTGTACCGCCAAAGCCAACACTGGCACCAGAAGAGCCACCAAAGCTGACACTAGTGCTTAGTGTGCCACCAAAGCCAGAGCTGGTGCTAGAAGACGCACCAAAGGAAACACTGGTGCTGAGCGTCCCACCAAAACCAGTATTGGTGCTAGGGGAACCACCAAAGGAGATACTGGTACTGAGTGTGCCTCCAAAGCCAGCACCAGAGTAGGGAGAACTACCAAAGCAGACACTGGTGCTAAGTGTGCCTCCAAAGCCAGTGGTGGTGCTAACTGCACCACTGAAGACAGTGCTTGTAGTCGGTGCACTGCCAAAGCTGGTGCTTGTGCTGAGTGCACCACTAAAGCCAGCGCTGATACTGCTAAGTGTGCCTCCAGAGCCACAGCTGGCTCCACCATTGAAACTGCCACTTGTATTAGGTGCACCACCAAAACTAATACTGGCTCCACCACTGAAATTGGTACTGGTGGTAGGAGCACCACCAAAGCTAATGCTGGATCCACCACTGAAACTATTCCCAATGCTGGGTGCACCACCAAAGCTAATACTGGCTGTGTTGCTCAAGTTGGTGCTAGTGCTGGGTGCACCACCAAAGCTAATGCTGGCTGTGTTGTTCAAGCTGCTGCTAGTGCTGGGTGCACCACCAAAGCTAATGCTGGCTGTGTTGCTTAAGCTGGTGGTAGTGCTAGGTGTACCACCAAAGCTAATGCTCGCTGTGTTGCTCAAGCTGGTGGTAGTGCTAGGTGCACCACCAAAGCTAATGCTCGCTGTACTACACAAAGTGGCACTAGTACTTGGTGTGCCACTGAAACTGGTGCTAGTGGTAGGTGTGTCTCCAAAGCTAATGCTCGGTACATTGCTGAAGTTGGCAGAGGTGTTGGGTACACTCCCAAAGGTAATGTCATTTCTGCCCCCAAAGCTACCACTGGGGTTAGATATGCCCCCAAAGCCACCACTGGGGTCAGATATGCCCCCAAAGCCA